TCTGCTTTAATACCCTATTTCCTGGAAGGCTGTATCCAAAGCAGGTTTGGGAAAGTGTGGACAGCAGGATGTGGATTTCCATACTTCCAACCCCACATCTAGAATCACCTTTCCTACTGCCTGCCATCTCCCTGCCACTGTCAATGGGCTTTATGCTTTTTAATTTATTATTGTTGGTAGCAGTTAATGTTGTTGACGCACTGTAGTGCTCTACCAACTACCAGTAATAAAGTCCTCTGGCAGGGGAATGGTGTTTGGGAGGGGAAAGTATGGAGTAAATCTCCATTGCTGCTCTGAATGCCTCTGCCTTTGCCACAGGAATCAGAGCAGAACAGGGAATCATCCTTTCTGGAAGCAAATAAGCAACCATGCCTTGTCCATTATCGTTTTTTATTATTTAATTTTTCATTCCCGTTATTCAGTTGGGTTTCCATCTCCATTTGTTTCACTGAGAAACACATTTCCACCACCCCCGACTCTCTTCCCCCGTCCACCCACTCATCTGCATGCAATGAAATACTCAGGGACTGTACCCCTTCCCCCAGAGGATGGTCAGTGTGGGGTTGTGGTTAGAGTTAGGGTCGCCAGGTCTGGGTTGGAAAATACCTGGGGACTTTGGGGGTGGATCCAGGAGAGGGCGGGGTTTGGGGAGGGGAGGGGCCTCAGCATGGTACAGTGCCAGAGAGTCCACCCTTCAAAGCAGCCATTTTCTCCAGGGGAGCTGATCTCTGTCAGCTGGAGATCAATTGTAAAAGCAGGAGATCCCCAGGCCCCACCTGGAGGCTGGCAACCCAAGTTAGAGTTCCCAACTTGGATTGGGGAGAACTGCATTCAGATACCCATTCAGCGATGAAGTTCATTAAGTAACACTGGGCCAGCCACTTGTCCCACAAACAACCCATCCTCACAGTGAAATGGGGGAGAATCGGGTATGCCACCTTGACAGTGCTTTCCACCAAAGGTAGAACTACACATTAAGTACAGTTCCTTCAGTTTCCATTATCTTAATGGAGGTGTGTTTTGTTTAGGGTTTTTTTTTGGTCAAATGGAGGTATGCCTGCTAGAATATTATAGTGTGTGGGGGGTGTATGTGTGTGTGACTGATGTCAGTGCACACACATTTTGAAGAGACGGCAGACATTGCCTGGAATGTCAGGTGGGGGGTGGGGAGAAACAAGAGTAACAATGGAATGGATCCCCTCTGGGAATTTGCAAGCAGGGGGCAAGAATCAGCTGCATCCCTGCCTCAGTTGGCAGAGCTGCTTATGTGCCAAGTTGTTCCTAGCAAAGATTAGGAAACGGAATGTTTGATCAAACAGGAAGCACTGCTAATATAGAACTCCAGCCCTCCCCAACATATTATTTGTGTATTTTAGAACATTTATATCTCACCTTTCTGCTCTTTCAGGCCCCGAAGGCAACTAACAATTTAAAATTAACAAGGTAGTGAGCCAGCAATGTAATTGGGGGAAACACTAAAAAAGACCCAATCTGTATAACTGCTGGTTGGTAAATGTGCCTGGCAGTTACATAGCTGCCAAATCACTCTTTGAACATCCCTCTGGCATCTGTGAATGTTATGGTCAGGTGCAGGGGTCATTTCCTGCGGGAGCGCACAGGAGTGGAGCTCCGGCAGTAAGGAGCCCAGGGGGCGAGCACATGCAACAAGCCCTGCCCCCTGCTCCCAGCAGCCTTCAGTCGGGCCACAAGGAGCAAGAAGCAGCCAGGTAAGTTGCAGACCATGTTCCCTCTAAGCTGTGGAGTCTTGTGTGCAAAAATTCTACTTTCCGAGCTACTGGCATTAAAGTTGTGAGCAGGCGATTTGTCTGCTGCATAAATTAGCTTGCTCTGGAGCCATCCCTTCCTGAGCTAAGGCAAAAATGTGTGAGCCAGAGGCTGAAAAACGGTGAGCTAGCTCACACTAACTCAGCTTAGAGGGAACACTGGTTGCAGAGGCCCCCCCCATCCCGCCTTCAGGTACAAGCTCTCCCTCCTCTGTGAGGGCAGATCTGCGTGTCCCCCCCCCCATAGCTACCAATCCAAAACAGTCCAGTGGCAACTTTAAGACCAAGTTTTATTCAGATACAAGGTCTCCCTCTTCTGCGAGGACAGATCTGCACGTTCCCCCCCCCCCAATAAATAAAATAAATAGCTAGCAATCCAAAACAGTCCAGTGGAGCCTGAGTGGTGGGTGTTGCCTTCTGACACACTTCCAGTGATGTCAGGGGGTGTGGCATATGCAAATAAGTTATGCTAATGAGCTCCTGCACCTCTTTTTCTACGAAATGACCCCTGGTCAGGTGACAGAATAATGGCCACATCCAAAGATTTTCTACCATTACTATCATTAATTTTATTTTATAGTTGGTGTCAGTTATAATAGCAGTATTACAAGGGCCTTCCCCTCAGGTTCATAGCAGTGCCCATCCCTAGTAATACTCCTTATGTCAGTCCCACTGTTGCACATTGTTGAAGGCTGTTCACCATCTGTTGCATGCTATATCAACTGCAGCCAGCTGTAATCACCGGTCTGATTAAAAACCTCAAGAGGGTTATGATTCCTTGATGGTTCAAGAAAAAACTAAAAAAAACGCCAATTGTCCTATAATATATCAGCAGCAGCTTAAAAAACATGCCTAGGCAGCTTGGTGTAGTGGTTAAGTGCGGAACTCTAATCTGGGAGAACCGGGTTTGATTCCCCACTCCTCCACTTGCAGCTGCTGGATGACCTTGGGCAAGCCATAACTCTGGCACAGCCGTTCTTGAAAAAGAGCAGTTTCTGTCAAGAGCTCTCTTAGCCCCACCTACCTCACAGGGTGTCTGTTGTGGGGAGGGGAAGGGAAAGGAGTTTGTAAGCCGCTCTGAGACTCCGAGTGAAGGGTGGGGTATAAATCCAATCTCCTCTTCTTCTCTTCTTCTTCTATGTGAAATGGCAGGCTGTGCATTGTGTAGTGTTCAAGCAGAATGCATTTACGTGGATGTACACTAGAGACCTGGATAGCCCAGGCTAGCCTGTTCTCAACAGATCTCAGAACCTAAGCAGGGTCAGCCCTGGCTAGTATTTGGATGGGAGACCTCCATGGAATACCAGGGTTGTGATGTGGAGGCAGGCAATGGGAAACCATGTCTGAACGTCTGAACGTCCCTTGCCTTGAAAACCCTGCATACGTCAGCTGTGCCCCCCCCCCCCAATTAAATTTTTATTTTAAAACAACAATACTTGATGGGGGGAAAATCCCCCAACACGTTAGAAACAGGAGTTGAACTTTAGAGACTTGGAGGACAGAGCTGAGCCTTGAATAACTGCACTAGATGTTCACATTTAGAAAGCTGGAACAAGGCATCTCATAAAAACACCAAAAATGTGATCAGCCATGTTGGTCCATCAGAAACTAATCCAGGCAGAACAAGCGTTCCAAATTCAACAACAACAAAAAAAACCAATCTCTTTATGAACCAATGCTTAAGGAACAGTACACACAGGGGTCATTTCCTGCAGGAGCGCACAGGAGCGGAGCTCCGGCAGTAAAGAGCCCAGGGGGCGAGCACATGCAACAAGCCCCACCCCCTTCTCCCAGCAGCCCTCAGTCAGAGCAAGAAGCAGCCAGGTAAGTTGCAGAGCTCCCCCTGGCCCCCCGGTCCGAAACATCACCGACACCTTTAAGACCAAGTCTTATTCAGGCACAAGCTCTCCCTCCCCTGCGAGGACAGACCTGCACGTCCCATCCCCCCCAATAGCTAGCAATCCAAAACAGTCCGGTGGAGCCTAAGCGGTGGGTGTTGCCTTCTGACACACTTCCGGTGATGTCAGGGGGCGTGGCATATGCAAATTGCTATGCTAATGAGTTATGCTAAGGAGCTCCTGCACCTCTTTTTCTACGAAATGACCCCTGAGTACACATATGAAACAACCAAAGCTTGGCTGGTTGGTTGGTTGGCTCAGAAATGTAAAAGATGTTAGAAGCCAGTGATCCCCCTCCATCAAAGGCATTCCGTGAGAGGAAGATGAGTGTGAATGGATGGTGGCAGGGCGGAGGCCAGAACATCTGGATGCCTTGGGAGATGGGAGTTTGGGACTAGGGTTTGAGGGAGTCTGACTGGGTGGGGATGGGAAATGAGTGGAAGCGAGGACTCCTGAGGTCACTTGGGAGCAGTGGAGTATATCAGACCGGTGAGCTTAGGAGTCAGGAGTCCTGAGTTTCAGTCCTGGTTCCTCTCGAGAGGTGGGTGGGTGGGTGGAGGTCCACAGCCGCACCTTCCTCTTTGTCATCACATGTCCATCTTCTGTGCCACCTCCTCACACCACCTCTGTCTGTTTCTCCCACCCCCTGCCCCCTGTTCATCTCCATCCATTGCTCCTACCCTGTCCCTCCCTTTTCCTCCCTCCTGCCGCACACCAAATCCTGGGCCCCATAGGCGCCCGCCACCTGCTGCAGCGAGCACCAGAATCCTCTGCCACCTCCTGGTACCTGCATGACTACAATGCCAACGCAGCCCCTTGGAAGCATGAGTAGGATGCCCGGAATGGTGAGTAGGCTCCCTACGTCCCTTCCTCCCCCCCCATCTCCAAT